GCTTATTTTAGCTGTGCTATTATGTGGTAAAAGAGCTGCCCTGAAGTCATCCCCATTCCCCCCTTTGTTATCATCTTCTCAGTTTTGCTAAATTAAAGCCACAGTAGAAGTCCCACAAGAAGTTAGACGAAGGCAGGTGGGCAGCATCGCCCCATGCAGGAGATACCCATGCTGGACAAAACAAGGCTCAACCCCTGCATGCTTATTTTAGCTGTGCTATTATGTGGTTATCACTTATTCACAGGGATACTATGTGCTTCATGTGAAGCAAGATCATGCTATAACCAGCTTTGGTGCTCAAAGAGTGCAAGACAAGAGTAATTTAGGGTTTTTTTTTAGGTGGGAAGAGCTTGTTACCAAGGCATCCCCCTGGCCCCAGCCTTGCTATACCTCACTCGTCAGGACTGCTTCCAAAAAATGATGTGGCAGTACATATGGGAGAGAAGTAGCTGCCAACATGTGAACACCAATTTTTTTTTTTAATACTAAATATACTGTTTCATTGATTTCTTTACCAATATTGCCAAAAAATTACCAGTAGAGAGAACTATATCACATTAACAGCTGTCTTTCTACCCACATACATGTTAAATTAGACCTTCTAAAGGGATAAGCATAGATCTTGTTGAATTACTGCGGAGGTGTGTGTTTGAGGTTTCAGCTAACCCAGCAAACCGTGAACTGCCACTAATAGAAGTGCCACGGCAGCAGTGAAATGGGTCTCCAAGGCACGGGAGGGTTTAGTGAGAGTCCACGTGTGTTGAGCACCAGGACGTTATTGACCTCCCCACTGGAGCTTGGCACCAGATCATTTCATAATAACTTTTGCCCTGTATGATCTGTCTTGCTATAAGGGGAAAAGAAACCCCAAACAAAAATGAACAACAAACTACTTATATTAAACAAGGAAAAATATCAGTAGTTTTGTAACTTAATTTTAAAAGCCCACTTGTTCTCCTGCTACCAAGGTGTGCTCAAGGACTGATTCCCCCACCTAGGTAAGTTATTTCTACTAGAGCTTCCAGAGCTGTTTGCCCCTAGAAAGTTTGAGCCATTTTCTTACATTAAATAAGCTTTAAGACTAACCTAGCACTGTTAAAGTGAGGGCCCAACTCTTTGGATGAACGATGCTTAAATTGGATGTTTAAATCTGGGAAGACATCCCAGATATTTGTCATTCTCCCCATCTCCCATGGCTTCCTATCGAGGGCTACTGGGTTTGCTGCCTAGCGATGAGCTCCCACAGCCCAGGGCCTGAGGGACCCTGCCCCAGCCTGTGGCACAAGCATGGTCACAGCAGATAGCACTTGCTGAGCTGCCCTGGCTCGCTCGCCCAATGCCGTGTCCCAACACCTTCTTTATGCCAGGGCTGCAGTCAGGGTGATGGATCAAAATTAGCCTTGGGTCTCCCGGGCGATTAGAATTAGAAGGTTAATAAGAAGTCAATCAGTCTTCTTAATGGTGGTAGAGAAATTGGCCAACTGCTTTGCAAACCCACGTTTTTAAGGATGAGAAATTAATTCCTGCAGCTGCCGTTTGGGCTAGTGCCATTCGAGCATTTTTTGGGGAAGACTCGCTGTCTTCCTAGATCCCCCAATGCCCCTCCTGATCTCTCCTCTTCTGCCTGGCTTGAGTCTGCTCCAGCCCACAGCGATGTCCCCCCGCCAGCAGCAATGTCCCCTCAGCAGCAGCAACCACAACTGGGACAAGCTCCCCTCTTCAAACATAAAATCACTGAATAACACACACAGAGCAGCTGAGCAGTTTCTGGGGCATGAAGAGGGGAGGAAAAATTGATTTTCTTAAGGAGACCTTAACATTGCATAGCCTAGTTTAGGTGAAACTCAGTCATTGTGCTTGCAGCACAACAGGCAGGTGCCCTTCTGTTAGAGCAGGAGGGTTGCACCGGGCCATGTGAGCCCGTAAAGGGCTCAGGGAACCACAACTTAAAAAAATCAAATTCAGTTCTTTCCTACGGGGTGCTCCCTGAAAACAAATAGTTCATGTGAAACGACTGCGAGCCGAGAGCCAGGTGATGGTCCAGGCCTTTTGCACAGTTGTTGCGTACAGCTCCGATTTCGGTACCTGCTCGAGCGGAGGAGGCTCTGTGAAATTACCTCCCTTTCTGCCACAGTGCAGTGTCAGAGAGCCACGGCTTAAGTGTAAATTGAAACTGGAAGAGAGCTTGTTTTCCTCGTGTTCAGCCAAGCCTTTAGATGGAAGTTGACTTTAATCCCAGTGTTTATCTGCATCCATTGCTTCCTTGTAATAAGATCTTGAAAGGGGGAGTAAGAACAAAGTACTGCTAAACAGACCGTGGAGCATAATCCAGCATCACCAAAGGAACTCTAAAAGAGATCTTTCACCCTTCCCAGCCTCCCCATCAGAACCTGCTTGGGATTTGTGAGATGTTTCTGGTCTAAAACCAGCACCTAGGAGTTTGCCTGCTCTCACCCCAGCTCAGCTGGGTCATAGCCAGGTCTCCGTAGCCAGTCTCTGGCCATGGGCACCCGGTACAGGGCTTTTGTGCCGTTCAAGAGAGCAGAAGAGTAGCTCTGGATTTGGAGACTCTTCTTAACTGGCACACAACCATGGGCATAGACCTTTGGAGTAAAGCTCTCGTTTTTCCCCTTATTTGAAGTAACAGTCTCTGGGCAGTCAGCTGTCATGGGCAGCTTGGAAAAACATGCCCAGAGGAGACAACAGAGCAGCATCTCAGCCCCAAGCCCTCCACAGCATTATGTGACCTGGCCAACATCTTAGCCCCAAGTGCAAGTGCAGTTGCTTTCTCAACCGGTACACATGTATCTGATGGCAGGCAGGACATCAGGACAGCCCTGCCGTAGTCTGTTCTGTATTTGCTGCTAAAACCAGCATAAGTCCTGTTAAGCTGGCTGCCTTGCTGACTGCCTTGCCCCACCAAACAAGCTGGCCTCCTGTGGTGATTTGGAAATCGCTGCCTGTTGAGGCAAAGGCAGGCAGCTAATATTGCACAGGGCTGTGAAAGACAGACAAGTGAGGCACTGCAAATCGCTCCGTACCCTTGGCAGAGCAGACACGCATGGCAGATCATCATCCATACGTTCACAATACTTGGTACAACCCCCACGCTCCCAAATCTTATTGCCCTCCTGATGACAACAGCTATTAGTCAAACTAGAGCACTTGGCTCATGCCCACGCACACACGGATTGCAAGTGCCACCCTTCACAGGGATGGGGGGACACCTCACAGCACGTCCCCTTCTGCTGCTGGGCTGAGCCAGGCTTGCTGCTCTCCCTGGCCCTTTCCTAACACCTCGAGACGTGCTGGCTTGGAGCAAACTCTTTAACTATAGGCTGTAGCAATTCCAGCCTTCTGTGGTTATTTAGGAAAGTTATTCTGGTGATGATGATGATGATTTTGGAAAGTACACACGTGTGTGCACACGCACACACACACACAATTTTGGGGGGGTTTATTTCCATAGGAGCTGCAGGAATTTCACTCCTCCTTGGCTTGCAGGTCTCCAGTGCACCAGGTGGCCATGGCAAACTCCTCATACCCCGGTGGTGAAGGCGGGTATTGATCAGTCAACAATAAAATGCTTTGGCACTTACAGATAACCTTCATTTCCTTCCACCCTGCCTCTGTTCTAAGTCATTCCATCAAAGTCTAGTGGGGAGCTCCCAACGCCTTGCAAAGCTGCCTGTCTGTGTGCATTAGATATGAAGTTACGCTCAGCACAATTTACAACTCCCTAGCTGTGCTGCTTCTGTAACTCCTCAGAGGAAAAGCCCAACGCTTACCAGCGGCCTGCCTCCCACCCCCAGACCACAAACAGCTCACGGCTTGGGGTGCGTGTCGTGGGACCAGCTGTGAAACATCTTACTGGGCCGTGCAAGAGAAATTTCAAACGAGGTGCGTCGGCACTTGAGCATCTGCGCAGCGGAGGCGGTGGGCTTGCTCGGCAGTGGGCACTGCTCAGCAGCTAAAAGAAATGCGGTGTTGGTGCTAGGTTGCATTTTCAGCTAGAAAAACCAACAGATGCTGGGCAGGACCGTTCCCCGGCTCAGGCTGTAACGAAAGGCGAAAGCATTTCTGCAGCTGGCTGGTTTGGCGTGAGGCTTAACGCGTGTGCCACTGCTCCGGATGAGACGTGAGCTCGCCAAGTTGACGTGAGCAATTAGCATGCGTGAGGCTCCTGCCGCCTCCTAATTCACTCAGAATAATTCATTAGCAAAAAGTCCTCAGCAGCACTAGTCTGCCGACAGGTCCTCATTGTAGATGTGTTCTTTGATTCACTTTAGAAGATAAATTGACCTGTGAAACTCCAGTCTAGCTCATGCTAATGAGTCTCTGTAGGGCCATCGTGAGAATTAATTTATTTATCTAAGGATTTCTCCATAGTGCTCCTCTCCTTGGCAGCTAGACTGAAGAGACATAATAGATCTAACACACTGGAACTACTAGATCAGATCACCCAGCCTTGGAAGTGTCTGTGCTACATTTGCTGTCTTGGGCTAAAGTTCTGGCTTGGGGGTCTCTGTACAGCCGAGAGGACAGTGTCCTCCTGCTCAAAGAGCTTCATAATCAGCAGTGTGAGAAGTGTTACACAAGCACCAGCAATTCCTGTGCATCTAATCAAGGGTTCCTCACTTTTTTTTTTTTTTTTTTTTTTTTTTGGCACCTTGAAAAGCAGCAGGATAGCCTCTTTATTCCAGGGTTTTGCAGTGGCTGTAGAAAAGAACTCTGCACTCTGAATTATGGGTTTTGAATATGGTCTTCTTGTTTCTGGCCATCCTCTATCAATAAACAGCCTTGAAATACCTCTCTGCCCCTCAACTGCACAGACACGCTCCTGGCCTCTACAGAAGAGGTGGCCAGCCCCAGTTGAACATCCTACCTAGATAACTCATGATCTTGCCCCCTCCAAGAGTGTCCAGGGAGCTCAAAGCGATGCCACCAAGCAGAGGTGTGTCCCCCCACATTAATGTCCCTCTCCTTTTCTTCCCCCGCAGCTTGAAAGCTGTCCTGATGGGGAAGCCTCAGGACAACACAGTGGACTTGTCGGGCATCCCGCTGACACTGAAGGACTTGGACCGCGTCACATCCTACCTCCAGCACAGCTCGGAGCACATCGACACGGTGGAGCTGTGCTTCACGGAGCTGACGGACGACATGCTGCTGCAGCTGCTGCCGGCGCTCTGCGTGCTGCCCCACCTCACCACCCTCTCCCTCAACGGCAACCGGCTCACCAAAGCCATCCTACGGGACCTCACCGAAACCCTGAAGGACCCCAAGAAGTTCCCCAGCGTCACCTGGATTGACCTTGGCAACAACGTGGACATCTTCTCCTTGCCACAACCCTTCTTGGTCAGCCTAAAGAGACGGTGCCCAAAACAAGGCAACTTGCCAACCATTCTGGAGTTCGGCGAGGGTCAGGTAAGCGATTTGGAGAGCCAAGACGGCCTGGCCGAGAGCCAGGAGGACCTGCGAGCTGCACCAGGCAAGACTGACAACATAGGCTTCCAGCAGACGGACAGAACAGTTGAGGCTGGGGAACTCCCCAACTCGGAGCAAGGTGCTGATACCCCACAGACATGATGGCCGGCTCCGTGGCTCTTGGGTGGGCACACTGAGCAAGACTGACTGGAAACCAAGACCTCAGCGCTGGAGGTCCCTACAGAGGGTCAGTTCACATGGTGGGATGCTTCGGGAGTCCAGACTGCTGCCTTCCTCCCGTACAATGAATGTCAATTTTTTTTTTTTCTTTTCAAAGAACACATAAAGGTGATCACATTGAATACTTCTATTTTATAAAAGCTGGCCAGGTATTTTTAAACATTAGTGATGTGCTGTGCTTTTTAACCTCTCAAAAATGCATCTCCAAGGTGGTCTAATACAGGACCCTTAGAAGAGCATGAAAGGGCCGAAGGTGCCCAGACTTTGCAGGCTCCCTTTCCTTAGCACTGGATCTAGCCAGACCCCAGCTGCTCTCCCACACGTGATGGACAAACAGCAGTCACCCCAAAGAGGACTGCCGCCAAGATAAACCTTTCCAATCCTGACTTCAGGAGTTGCTGATGAATAGTATATCTGCTGAGATACAACAAAAGTCTGATGACACACTAACCAGGTTAATATTGTGAGCCAGCCCAGAGGAACAGCTTTGCTTTCCTGATGCAGAGCTAAATCCTGGCCCGCAGCATGCCTGGACACTGCTCTCACCCTCCAGCCTTACCGAAATCAGGCTGGCAGTTGTGCCTGCCCAGTATTTATTCAGATGTAAAATTCAGTTTCCCACCAGCGGTGCTGCTGTAATAACTCCAGAGCTTTTAACATGGTGCCTGGAGCTTGCACCGACAACACTGAGAGTATTTGATGCATTTTGGGGAACGATCCACAAAATCTGGAGCCAGGGCTCAGCTCAGGTTCATTGCTGTTGCTGACAAAAAAAAAAAAAAGACCATAATACTGAAGGTTTACAAAAGAAGAAATAATCCTGGGGTTCATCCCTGTATCACTGCCACTGAGGGCTGGGTGGGCACAGCTAGGTGGAGATTTAAAGCCTCAGAAAGGCTGTTGGGTCACTTGGCTGTGTCCATCCCTCCCGGACCAGAAGTGCTTTGTTTATAAAATGTTGGTTTGTTTTTTTCCTAAAAGGCATAGTTTCGATTTTGTTTTATTTTTGATGGCAAATCAGTCGCCCCAGAGCAGCAGCACTGGAACGGGCACTTTGGCTTTGGAACCAGAATTTCATTTGCTCCTAAACCTGGGGGAGGGCAGGAAAGTGTGAGACACTTCCTCCCCCTTACATTCAAAGGACCAAACATGACTCCCTTTGCTAAGAGGGAGCTCTCTTCTATCTGTCCAAAGCCCATCCCTGACCAGCTTTACATCATCATCTTCCTGGCTCGCAGCAGTGACCCTCTGGCTTTGCCTCTTCTGGGTGCAAACGCAGTCAGACTTTTTGGTTGTCTCTAGTCATTTCACATCACCGCACCAGGAAGCTTTTTCCACAGGGGCTTCGTGCTGTCGGTTGTTGTTTCTCCTCCGTACGCAAGTAGGTAACTTTTAGAAGAAACTCTGCTACTCATTTTAATACATTTGGCAACATTCAGTATGATTTGCATGTATCCAAGCCTTTTTCCTTTGTTTTTTTTTAATGCTAACTTTCCATCAGGCATGAAAAACCTTTGCAGTGAATAAGCTGTTCTGTTTGAAATAAAGGAGCTATCCGTAATCAAAATAAATGACAATGTTTAATAAAGACCCAGTGTTGAATTTTTCCTCTGCCCAGGCTGAATGCCCAGCTGGCAGCCCAGAGCACCCCAGCAAAAAAAAACAACAGTGCCAAGCGCTGCAGGTCTGGGTTCTCCATGGTGCTTAAAAAAAAGGGTCACTGTAGCTGGGTGGAGAAATAAATAGGCCAGTTTATGGGCTGGATTCTGCAGGGTGGGCACAAATTGGACACAGAAGAGTCATAAAAAGCATCTGTTAACTTTTAAATGTCACCAGCATGCAAAACTAATGTGGGAGAAAGGAATACTGGGAATGGCATACTGCTCCACGGGGTGTTTCTCTCCAGTGTTGCAGTCTCAGCGCACTGAAGAGAATGGGGTTTTTATTTGCAGCAAGGACTCTATGTATGATCTTTGTTCCAGCACCCAAACCGTGGCAGGGGACAGGACACAGGAGCCAACGTGCTGGTGGGAGCAGCTCTGTCACAGATCTCTCCTGCAGCGCTTGGGGACTATTTCCACCATTACTACACCTTTAAGAAGGTACCTTTAATAGAGGTATAAATTCAGCAAGGCGCGATGCACCACGTTGGCCAGGTCTCAGCTGCATCTATGACCATCAGACCATCCTTGGGGGGAGGCTGCACTTCTCCCCCTCCCCAGGAGCCACACACAGGGGTTGGACGGGGCTCGAAGAACCTCATCCAGCTGAAGATGTCCTTGCTCACTTTAGGGGGCTTGGACTAGGTGACCTTTAAATGTCTCTTCCAACCCAAACTGTTCTACGATGGTTCCTTGCCTGGGGCAGGCTGGAGGATGGAGCCTATGGCACGTGTTTCGTTCCTATGGAAAGGCTGACAGGCAGCGGGTAGAGCCTGTGCCTACACCCAGGGCAGGCAATGAGACAGGGGAAGTAAATCCACCGTCACTACTTGATCCGCCACATGCACACGTCGCCCTGCTGCGCCAGTAGTGCATCCCTCACGGAGATTTGTTAATGCTTTCATCAAGAACAAGATTTCTCCTTGAAAAAAAAAAAAACAAAAAACCAAAAAAAAACCCTCCAGTAATTTCTTCTATAAGAGGTCAGGCACTGGTTTGCTCAGTACCTCAGTACCCAATGCTGGGTTCCCCTCCTTATGTACAGCTCAGGCCCCTCTCTGTTTAAATTATTTAAATCACAAGCTCCTTGCTGCGAGCTTTCTATTTTCTGCTAAGTATTTGCACAGGAACTGGGCCTCAGCATCCATCCAGACCCCCCAGTTTGGCCGTGCAAATTCATAAACCAGAGGCACTTTGCATTTAGAGCGCCGCATCATTTATTGATGCTTTGCACGCTCAATTCCCTCACCGACACAAACCAACCCAGGAGGTTGCTCCTGCCACATTTCCCCTCCAGCTGAGCTTCTACCTGCTGTGAAACACAGCGATCAGCCAGGAGATATTTTGCACGTATCAGACTCTTTCTGGAAGGGGCTACCAGCAGCCCACCAGCTCAGCTTTCAGCCGCAGAGGGCTAAATGCAACGCGCTGTCCCCAGCGCTGCTGCAGATGCGCTGCAATCGGGAGCACCTTGTCCCAGCTGTCCCCCTCCGCTGTGAAATGCTGTGGTTGGGTCCCTCCCGTGATCATCCAGGGCCATGTTGCAAAGGATGAGCCTCCGGAGAAAGACCCCACGTCCTTCAGCCCTTCGCCTCATGCAGACATTGCACCGTTGGAGCTAGCTCTGCTCCACTGCTACAGACAGGCTGTGCCACTATCGCTGTGCCCAGCAAGGATTTAGCCTTTCTGAGAAAGGGAAATAACTAGAAAGGGCCTTTTATCGATACATACATGCATGCTGAAACATGCACCAAATTAGTGACTTTCATAGGAAAAGAAAAAACAACACAGCTCTCGTCAAGACAGTAACTGGGTTATAAAAAAAAAAAAAAAAAAAGTAGCCAATCAGTCTCTTCCTCGCAGTGTGGATTAGGTCATTTAGCCATTTATTGCACTTCAGGATGATGCTGATCCTGTGGGCTCGGTAAAGAGCGGGGGGGGGTTTCAGAAAGCAGTGTGAGATTGCTTCCCTTCTCAGCTCGTCAGCATCAAAACAAGCTTGGAGCTCACTCCATATATAATCAGTGTTCGCCGTGCTACACTGGGCTGCTTCTTCTGGTCAGAAGCTTTTAAATGGCCCTAGAAGAAGGATCCGAGTACTGAAAATCACTGCTGTTAGAATATTAAAGTTGATTGAGGTCATTTCTTGTCAAAGGAGGGAGGAAATGGCCACCATAAAATAAAAAAGTCCATAAAACATCCAAGCCCGGTTTGGTTAGTTATCTCCACCAGCGCCACACAGCTCTGCCTCGGCATGAAAGAAACTAATCTGTGGGAGAAGATTTACGCCTTCAGCAACAAAAATGTAATGGGAAATCATTCTGTGCAGATTGAAGAGCCCACACTGAGGGGAATCGGAACAGTAGGCGAGGGATGGGAGAGGCATGAAAAGGCTGATGCCACACACTCCAGAGGGCTCATTCCAGCTGGGTTATCTCAGAAGAGTTTGCACAAGCCCCATTTGGGTTTTGAAGGTGACTATTCTTTTAAAACGAGGGTTACATTCGGGGGGGGCAGGGAGGAGCTGGCAAGAGGGCTGGTGATGGTCACCCCCAAGCACAGACTGCGTTGGAAAGCAAGGAAAGCACTGCTGGGGACATCAAGAAGGTCAAAAATACTCTGGCCAAAAGCATTGCTTGCTGCTCACCAGTCCTTTGGTGACACCTACCCAAAACTGCTGCAGAGGAAAGGCCCAAAAGTGACCTAAAGGACTAAGGGGGGACATCAAGGGAGCTGGGGAGAGGGCTGCCCCAGGCAATGGAACCACACTGGGTCATCACACTGCAACCAACTTTGCATTCAGGCACAACTGTTTCAGCGCTTCCCTATGGTTCAGCACAGCTTGTTTCAGCAGCGGGAAAGGAGGAGGCTCCCGAGCTCATGCAGGGACCACTCGTGTCCTCAGAAACACAAAGACTCCCATGTTCCATTAACTGGGAGCACATCGCTGGTAGCTGCTATTGCCAAGGAAACCAATTGACCTTAGTAGCAGTATTCAAGTATTAATGCTTATGAGGAAGGGAAAAAACAACAAACCCAACCTCTCCAGTGTAATGTTCCTAGGTGAGCAGCAGATTTAATCTCTTCCCAATCTCTTTGGTACGCAGATGTCGTCCTGGAAACCCTTCGCTCCAGAGGCAGTTGAGTTTTTATCTGCCTGGGGGCCATATTCCACCAGCAGATTATACACAACAAGAAGGGATGATCTTTCTAACTCTATTTAGTGTCTTTAGCATTAATTCTGCAGGACAAATGGGAAAT